GATATCAACTATAGTTCCCTGTACAGTAAAACATTGCTGTTTGTATATCTATTTTTTAAATTAGAAATCTAGCATTCTGTTCATACTAAGTCAAACAAGTAGAATCAAAATGTCATAAATTTTTAAAATTTAATAGGTATGTGTAATGCATATATTTTAGAAAACATGAATTTTTGTCTAATTAAATTTTTTAATTAAAAATTAATTTCTAGATTTCTAATTTAAAAAAATTTATAATGTATACAAAAGCTTTTCTACCACACTTGATAAAAGCTTGAGAAAGAACATAAACAAAAAAGAGATGGAGAAACTGGAATACATAAACTAAATGAAATGGCAGCACTGAATATAAAACAGAAAAAGTGAAATGAAGTAGTTAAAAGTAAAAGATCCTCACATAGTCCAGTTGTTTTTAAACATGGCTGCTCATTAGAAACATACCTCAAACTTTGGAGAAAAAAAGCAATACATGAGCATTTGTAGTTTTCAAAAACTTCCAAGATAATGCTTATATGCATCTGGATTTTTAAAAAGTGATTACAGATTTTTCTACTAAATAGTAGTTTTGGTGATACAGAGTTCTATTATTTTTCTATTGACCAATCATAATATAATGGTATTAAGTGAGTAATGGTTACACAATCATTATAGTAAAAGGTGTTTATAAGTTTTCACAATCAGTAGCCAGACAAAAAATAAAAGATAGTTAAATTTTCAAGCCATATCAGGAACATGATTAACCTAACAATATAAAATATTACATACAATTTGGGGGGTCAAGGAGAGTACTGTGGTAAGTGGAAGTGCATACATGAACATTTTCAACCACCCAGCCAGTCTGTCTTTTGGTTGGTGCATTTAATCCATTTACATTTAAAGTAATTATTGATATGTATGATCCTATTACCATTTTCTTAACTGTTTTGGGTTTATTTTCTGTAGGTCTTTTTCTTCTCTTGTGTTTCCTGCCTAGAGAATTTCCTTTAGCATTTTCAAAAAGTTTATTTCCTAACCATATTATACCTCCTTTACTGTTTAGCTTGAATGTGTGTGTTTGTTTGTTTTTTGGCATGCCACACAGCATGTGGGGTCTGAGTTCCCTGACCAGGGATTGAACCTGAGACACCTACAGTGGAAGCACCAAATCTTAACCACTGGACCACCAGGGAAGTCCCCATGTTGTCTTTATTCTAGACCCCAGGCTAGAGAGGCTACCACTACCTGGAGGTACACTTGACCCAGGGCAGATGGAAAAGAGGAAAGGCAGAACCACCTTGGAGCTCTTAAAGCTTCTACTGAGATGTGGCATAAAGGATTTCTGCTCAAATTCCACTGACTGAAGCAAACCACATGGGTAAGCATACATGGAGTAGGAAGCAGCGTCCTCCCAGAAGGAAGGACACTTGTCCTTTTGGGAGGGGGCAACATGTATGAGGGTCCTGGGGCAACAGGGGGTGGAGCGGGGAGGAAAGAGTTGACAAGAGAACTGAAAGAAGCTGCTGTAGCTGGAGGATGGTGATGGAGGGTAGGGTTGGGGTGCTCTTGGAGAGATTCACAAGGGCCTTGTAAGCCATTCATTCATCCAAATGTGAGCAACAGCAGGCTCTGAGTCAGCACAGAGGGTCTGGGGGCTGATAAGGCTGACAAGGTGCCTGTTCTGAAGGCAGTGACCTGGTGGGGAAAATGCATGAGAAGTAAGTAAATAAGGAAGCGAGATGACTGCAGATAATGATCAAATACATGCTATAGTTTAAAAGTGTGTGTTTTACTTGCTTTTAAAAATTGTTATTGAAGTATAGTTGCTCTGGCTTCCTTGGTGGCTCAGTGGTCAAGAATCTGCCTGCCAATGAAGAAGACTTGTGTTTGATCCCTGGGTAGGGAAGACCCTCTGGAGAAGGAAATGGCAATCCACTCCAGTGTTCTTGCCTGGGAAATCCCATGGACAGAGGAGCAGGGCAGGCTACAGTCCATGGGTTGCAAAAGAGCCAGACATGACTTAGCAACTAAACAACAACATGGTTGCTTTACAATGTTGTGTTAGTTTCTATTGCTGTTACTGTTCAGTCTCTAAGTCATGTCCGATTCTTTGTGATCCCATGGACTGCAGCACACCAGGCTTCCCTGTCCTTCACTATCTCTCAGTGTTTGATCAGATTCATGTCCACTGAGTCAATGAAGCTAACCAACCATCTCATCCTCTATTCTACAGCAAAGTGAATCAGCTATACATATATATATATATACACACACATGCTCAGTAGCTCAGTCGTGTCTCTTTGCGACTCCATGGACTGTAGCCCACCAGGTTCCTCTGTTCATGGAGTTTTCCAGGCAAGAATACTGGAGTGAGTTGCTATTTCCTCTTCCAGGGGATCTTTGCCACCCGGGAATCAAACCTGTGTCTCCTACATCTCCTGCATTGGCAGGCAGATTCTTTACCAATGAGCCACCTGGGAAGCCCATGTATACATACATCCCCTCTTTTTTGGATTTCTTTCCCATTTAGGCCCTCACAGAGCGCTGAGTAGAGCTCCCTGAGCTACACAGTAGGTTCTCATTAGTTATCTCTTTTATACATAGTGTCAATGGTGTTTATACGTCATTCCCATCTTCCAATTCACCCCGTCCCCCACTCCCCCTCTTGATGTCCATACATTCGTTCTCTACATCTGTGTCTCTATTTCTGTTTTGCAAATAAGATCATCTATAGCATTTTTCTAGATTCCACACATATTAGTTAATATACAAGTTTGTATTTTACTAAAAGGACTATTTTTAAAAGATCACATCTTCTTCTTCCATTCCCAGTTCTTTTTTAAAAAAAAAATAGTTTATTTTCTTTTTGGCTGTGCTGGGTCTTCGCTCCTGCGAGGGCTCTCCTCTAGTCGCGGAGAGCGAGGGTTACTCTCAAGTTGCGGTTCGAGGGCCTCTCACTGCGGTGGCTTTTCTTGTTAGGAACAGAGCCCGGGCTCTCGAGTGAACAGGCTTCAGCAGCTGCAGCACGTGGGCTCACCAGTTGTGGCTCCAGGGCTCTAGAGCACAGGCTCAATCGTCGTGGTGCCTGGGCTTCGTTGCTCTGCAGCAGGTGGGATCTGCCCAGATCAGGGATCAGACCCGTGTCCCCTGCACTGGCAGGTGGATTCTTCACCGCTGAGCCACCAGGGAAGCCCCTCCCAGTTCTTTTGGAGCGTGATCATCAGCAATTCTCTGATCTTCAAAGAGAAACTTGACTGAATTCCTGGGAACCCATTATGATTCTTTGAGTTTCTTGAGATGTGTCATCATTTTCACTCTAAAGTGAATCTCACTGCTTTCCTGTTCAATGACCTCAAGCTTAATATCCTCTTCCTTCTTATCCCCCAAGTCCTCAGTTGGAAGTTTTGAAATGGGGAGCTATTGTTTCGTGAGTACTTAAAAATGTGAACTTAAAGGGTGTTAAGGCAGTACATATTGTTCAAATTAAGTTATGTGTATGTTTTTTTTAAGTTGTGTGTATTTTATTACGGGAAAAAAAGGGGGGAGAAGTCACCTGTCACATGTATGTGCTGACTGTCCTATAAAACTAAAGAGTAAAGAGTAACTGAGTCAGTGAAGATGGAAAGGCTTAAGGTCTGCTTGGTGGGGCGCGGGGGGACGCGGGGTGGAGGGGTTGAACTAGGTGCTCCTGGGCGAAGCCTTCCTTCTCCACTTTGGAGCCGCTGTGGGACTCTCATATCCCTAAAGGACCTTGGAATGGGGATGTGGCCCCAGGGAATTCTCACTCCAAGACAATCTCCTCTCTAGTTCCCAGGTTTGGGGATTCCTGTATCTGTAATAAACACAGACACAACCAGCGACCCTTCCCCAGCAAGGCACAATCACTGAATATTTATAATTTACTCATCAGCCACGCGCCGCAACCCAGGTTGGTAGCATTCTAGGTCCTGCACCTTGGCAATGCGTTTGTAAAGAGCGGAGAGGGGCTCCTGCTGCCTTTCTGGCCCTGGGGTCCCGCTGGCTGCCCTCACCCCTCTTGTAGGTGATGAAACTTGAGAGAAGCCTTTACCCAGGAGAGCCGCAGCTGGGAGGTGCGCGGTGGAGACTGACTGGGTTAACTCCAAGGAGAGGTGAGTGGTGCTGACGAGAAGCCACACCTTTTCCCAGAAAGGGGCCTGATTGGTGGAGGGCTTCTAGGGCGGGGCAGCGCTGGGGCTATAAAAACGCACTCACTGGGCTTGGAGTTACGCTGTAGGTTAACTCTCCTGAGCTCAGGTAAGTCTTCCGGAAGGAGGAGGCTGGGCTTACCTGTGGGAACTTAGATGGAGGCCCCTAGGTTGACCAAGCCGTTTTGGAGGGGTCCCTCCCCCGAGCCCTGTAGTTGGAGTCTCTTTGTAGCTCCAAATATTTGCGGTGGCTCCACCTCAAAACTCCCCCTAAACCCCAGTATTTTTGTTTAATAACGTTCCTGTCTCTGGTCTTCAGTTTTCCTCTGTGAAGTAGTGGTCTGCTGGTTTTTTCAGGGCTGCTTGATGAAGGGTGAGGGGATGGTTGTGAATTGGGTGGCAAGAGGCGCCGTGAGTCTCTGGCTTTGGGGTCAGTCAGGATCAACCTTGAAGTGGCTGTGAAACCTCCATGCTTCAGTTTCAATGTTTGCAAAATGGATCTACTTACCAGGACGAAATAAGTTAAAGCATTTAACACAGCTCCAGGCACTTAGGAAACCCTCAGAGGCGCTCCTTACTGCTGCTGTTACTCTCTGGCCTGGTCTGCGGTGCCAGGAGGAGGGTTGAGGGTGCTGTAGCCCCCAGGAATTCTGCTGCTTTTCTTGTCTCCTCACCACCACTCCCACCCCTGTTTCTCCATGCCCACCCCTCCACCTTCTGGAGGTCGTCTGTCAGGCCAGCCACACTGATCCCCTTGACCTGTGCGGGGCTAATGGGGTAGATGCTAAGTCCTGGGGCTGCTTTCTTTACAGGTCACCCTGTCCCACCCCACCCCACCCACCCCCAACCCCCCAAGAGATGAGCGATGCCCAAGACCCGGCCACAGTCCCTGGAGCTGGCACCCAGGTGAAGCTGAGGGGCTGGAGCCATCAAGGTGAGGGTGATGAGTCTTCCCACCTCCGCACACACCAGGAGCTCCAGGCCTTCCTCCACCTTCTGGAGCACAGTTTCCTCCAGGATTTCCTCTCCAAAGATCCCTGTTTCCAGATTTCAGACAATACCTCCTGTCCATGGTGCTTGTCTACTTCCGGCGTGCCAACCTGCAGCTCAGCAAGTACACCCACAGCAATCTGTTCCTGGCACTGTACCTTGCGAATGACATGGAGGAAGACCTGGAGGACCCCAAAAGCGTGATTTTTCCGTGGGCCCTGGGCCAAGATTGGCGTCATCAAGTGTCAGACTTCCTGCATCAGAGGGACAAGCTGTGGGCACGGATGGGCTTCAGGGCTGTTGTGAGACGTCAGAGAGGGTGATGAGTCTTCCCACCTCCGCAGACACCAGGAGCTCCAGGCCTTCCTCCACCTTCTGGGTGAGTCCACTTGGGGGTGGTACAGGGAGGACTGCGAGGACCACGTGCGAACTGATGTGAGAGGTGGGATCTCAGCCTGCCCATGTCTCGGTCCCGGCCAGCCCTTCTCAGGTGACTCCGGTTTGGCAGGTTGGGGGGGGGGGGCGCTCATGTCAGAAATGTCAGAAAGTAGGTTCAGTGGGGGCTCGGGCTTTGGAACTTAGAATGCTGCTCTCATCTCGTGGGGTGAGGGTGGTAACCCCAGTCTACCGTTTCTCCTCTCTCTCCCCCAGAGCACAGTTTCCTCCAGGATTTCCTCTCCAAAGATCCCTGTTTCCAGATTTCAGACAAGGTGAGTGGGGGGAGAGTCCAGGCTCACTCGGGGAACGTTGAATTAGCGGGGCCTGAGTGCAGCTTATGCATTGGGTCCCCTGATCTGGTACAGGGAGCACCTTCATTTTAAGCCCTTGTCTTAGCAGGTCCCCCAGCACCATTTTACCCTGGATTTTCTAGGCCTCCTCACCACCCAGAACCTGCTTGATGGGGCTGGCACAGCCCCCTCCCCTGCCCGCAGTGCCCCGCTCTAACTCTCCCCATCTGTGTCTGCAGTACCTCCTGTCCATGGTGCTTGTCTACTTCCGGCGTGCCAACCTGCAGCTCAGCGAGTACACCCACAGCAATCTGTTCCTGGCACTGTGAGTGGCCCGGGTGGCTGGGGAGGATGCCCACTTAGAGTCAAAGGGTGGGGGTAGGGCGGATGCTTACAGCCTCTGTTCCCCCTGTTCCCCACCTCTGTGGCCAGGTACCTTGCGAATGACATGGAGGAAGACCTGGAGGACCCCAAAAGCGTGATTTTTCCGTGGGCCCTGGGCCAAGATTGGCGTCATCAAGTGTCAGACTTCCTGCATCAGAGGGACAAGCTGTGGGCACGGATGGGCTTCAGGGCTGTTGTGAGACGTCAGAGCTGCGAAGAGGTGAGTGCCTCCCCTCCACCAGCATCCCAGGGTGGGGGAAAGAGGCTGGACCTCCCACCTCCCACTTACCATCCACTCTTCTCATGCAGGTCATGGCCAAGGAGCCGACGCACTGGGCCTGGACTCGGGAGCGGCACCCCCACCATGGCAGGGCTCAAAGGAGTTTCCCAAAGGCCCAGATCCCCCTCCCCCGGGGTCCCGGCCTCTCGCCACCCCACTGTTCTCTTTGTGCCTTGCCCCCTCATCACAGGCTCTGCTGCCTGCGCCCCTTGCCTGTCTTATCCAAGTGCCTTTCCTACAATGCTGAGTGGCAGCGCCCTTCATCCCAAGCTTGGCCCTGGAGTAGGGGCTTCCTCATTGTCCTGCCCACCCAGCTGCCGCTGGAGCCAGGCACCTACACCCTCCACAGTGAGTAGGGGACAGAAGCTGGAGGGGAGCCGGGAGGAGCTGGGAGGCAGGTGTGGAGCCCAACAGAATGGGAAGGAGGGGCATGGCGCCTGGGGCCCAGCAGGCTTGGGCATGTGTCCGGCTCTGCACCCCCGCGCTGTGTGAGCTTGGCAGGCTTCCTCTGAGCAGCTCTCTGTCCTTCCTCCCCCAGTCTTCTCTAAGCTGCTGCTGTGCCCTCGGCGCTGACACTCGCAGGGTGGACAGCCCGTCTGCTTGCCTGCTGGCCCAGTGCTCTGCTGACTGTGGCCCCTACAGCCTCCTGTCTTCTTGGCCTCAGGCTGGCAGGGCTGCCCATGCCTCCTGCCCCTTCCTCCCAACCTGCAACTTGTACCCTCTCTGACCTGACTCCCCTAATAAATTCATGCCCACAGGACACCGGCTGTGCTTAGACCCTGGTCTGGGTCCTTCACCCAGGGTCGGGGTAGGGAGGGGATTTTGGGGAGAGGGGGGTCTGCCAGATTTAGGTAGCAGTGGTTGAGACCCCTGAGCACAGGCCCTGTAATAGCTCTCCCTTCCCGCTGGCAACCAGTCATCCCGCTGTTTCTCCTCTTTAAAATCTTAGTGGATGCTGAGACCCACATAGAGCCCACGGAACTGAATGAGATGAGCTATATGCAGTCCTTAGAAGACGGCCTGGGACCTACTGGACCAAAAGCGCTCCAAAGGAAAATGGCTCTATAGTCAGTCTAGAAATGCCTACAGGGTGAGATCGTTTTCAGAATGAGCCTTGGTCCTTGCTCTGGGCTGCCGTTGCCTCTTGTGACCCCATGAACTGTAGCCCACCAGGCTCCTCTGTCCATGAGATTTCCCAGGCAAGAATACTGGAGTGGGAGGCCATATCCTTCTCCAGGGGATCTTCCCAACCCAGGGATTGAACCCAGGTCTCCTGCATTGCAGGGACTGTTTCCTGACTGAGCCACCAGAGAAGCCCATCTAGTGTGATGAACTATGTCAAGTTTGCCCATGCTCGGGTGGTGGTGGTGAGGAACAGGGTTTTTGGAAAGACCATCTAGAGTAGTGATTAAGACTTGGTCTTGGGTGCCAGACAGCTTAAGTTCAAAATCCAGGTTTCTGTATGACTTTAGCACAACAGATTTAATCTCCTCTACTCCCTATCTGTAAAATGAGGAGTACACTAAGAAGGATACTGTTGGAGATTTGGATGAGATAATACTAGAAGGGTTTAGAACTAGATCTCAAGAAAGGAGCTCAGATGTGGGTGTTATCAGTAGAGAAAGGTTAAAGGGGAGTGTATCTGGAACAGAAAGAAGACAGTGATGTCTAAGGGGTCAGGTGGCAGAGGAATCTAAATGTAATCCCCCTCTGTCCTCTCTGAGTGGCTCCCAAGAAGCATGGGGGTGAAGCCTGGAGGCTGCAGACATTAGAAGCCAAGACAAGGACTGTAAAGTATTTTTAAGAGTTTTTCAAATAGGTAATATATTCACATGTATGTTTTGAATTTTGAACCAAGAGTCACCTCCTGCCCCTGACTACCAGCCACCTGGTTCTCCTTTCTGGAAACAATGGAAGTGATCATTTATGTCCATCCAGAGAAAGAATCTAAATGTATGTAACCAAATGTATAATAAAAATATACAAATTTGGTCTTTGTCCCTGGTTCCTGGCACAGAGCGCGTAATACCCTTGGAATTTCCAGAGTTATAGGAATGTCTTGTTATTCATAATGACCTCCTATAGATCACACCAGAGTTTATGCTAATGAGGTTTTTCAGGTTGGTGGCTGTTGCCAAAAAAACTGATCTAGAGGGTGGGAACTTTCAGCTTCTCCAGCTCTTCCAGAAAGGGTGAGGCACTAGAGATTTGGGTCTGTCTGGTCAAGGCTATGGTTTTTCCAGTGGTCATGTATGGATGTGAGAGCTGAACTGTGAAGAAAGTGAGTGCCGAAAAATTGATGCTTTTGAACTATGGTGTTGGAGAAGACTCTTGAGAGTCCCTTGGACTGCAAGGAGATCCGACCTGTCCATCCTAAAGGAGATCAGTCCTGGGTGTTCATTGGAAGGACTGATGCTGAAGCTGAAACTCCAGTACTTTGGCCACCTCAGAAGAGTTGACTCATTGGAAAAGACCCTGATGCTGGGAAGGATTAGGGGCAGAATGAGAAGGGGACAACAGAGGATGAAATGGTTGGATGGCATCACCGACTCGATGGACATGGGTTTGAGTAAACTCCGGGAGTTGGTGATGGACAGAGAGGCCTGGCGTGCTGCGATTCATGGGGTCGCAAAGAGTCGGACACGACTGAGCGACTGAACTGAACTGAACTGAGTGACTGAACTGAACTGACTGAAGACTTCGTAAGAACAGCATTATTCAAATAGGAAACAGAGCGAATTCCTAGAAGAATTGTTCAGCCAAAGGTCAAGTCAAAACTGTCATCTTTTTTTAAAGGGCCATTTGATTTATTTTTTGGTGGCACTGGGTTTTCACTGCAGCATGCAGCCTTCTCTAATTGCGGCATGTGGGCTCTAGAGTGAGAGACCTCAGTAGTTTCAATGTACCACTTCAGGACTTAGCTGCCCTGAAGCATGTGGGATCTTAGTTCCCTGATCAGGTATCAAATCCACATTCCCTGCATTGGCAGGCAGATTCTTAACCACTGGACCACCAGGGAAAGCCTCCAAAATTATCATCTTGAAGAAGTTTGCCATGTGTCCATCTGTTGGGGCTGTGCCTGAAACACCTCCCCAGCCTCCAGCTGTGTGAAGGCCATTTTCCACAGCACTCACCAATCAACAAGGAGCAAGTTTATTTTATGTTTGCCAAACTGCTAAGGAGAAAATCGTGTCTTGGTGAAGGTTTAGTTTGTATTTCTTTTTCTTTCAAGTGAGCTCAAGCATTGCTTCATACACCTAAGAGCTGTGTGTCTTTTTTGTGAACGGTTCTTATCTTTGTGCATTTCTCCACTGGTTTTTGGTACTTGACTCATATGTAAGGAACACTAGCCTCTCAGGATGTAAATTGTATTTCTTCAGTTTATCATTTTAACTTTGTGTGTGGTAAAATACATTTTTGTGGCTTCTGGGTTTTGTGTCACAGTTAAAAAGAATTTTTCCACACTGAGATGATTAAAAGAACATTTCCCTTAGCTGCTGGCTGTATTTTTTGTTTTCGTTTTTTACATTTAAATCTTGAGTTCATCTGGAATTGATTATATACAAAATTCCCTCCCATTTTCCTAATGCTTTTTAATGAAAAACTCATCTTTTCTCAACAAATTTGAGATGCTGCTCTTATATACTAAATTCCTATATGCATTTGGACCTGTATCTAGATTCTTCTATCTTTCAGTGATCTATATGTGTCAGTACCCCTCTTCATTAATTATTATATAATAATTATTTAATCATTATAGATTGGATTTAATATCTGATAGGGTTAGACTCCCTAATGGACCTCCTGATGGCTTAGCTGGTAAAGAATCTGCCTGCAATGCAGGAGACACAGGAGACGTGGGTACTATCCCCGGGTGGGGAAGATCCCCTGGAGGAGGAAAATGGCAACTCACTCCAATATTCTTGCCTGAAAAATCCCATGGACAGAGGAGCCTGGCAGGCTAAGGTCTAAAAGGTTGCAAAGAGTTGGCACAACTGAGCAACTATGCACTCCCACAGGCACTTCAGTCACAGTTTGACTAATATTTAGTCAAAGCACTCAATACATCCGTCTATTTTGCAGCATGATCAATGGAAGCCTCAAAGTTTCAGATATTGTTTTATACGCAATCTGAATGAGAATTATAGTTTATAAAAACATTTCATAAAACCATCTACATCTATTGTAACTTTGTTGGAGATTGAGATCAATATTCTGAAATAAGGTATTTAGTAATAAAAATTAGGGTACACACAGCTTTCCTATGTTAATAATTTTCATTCCCCTGAGAGAAAGAACAAATCTACGGTTAATCAGATTGTAGACCCTACTATTTCTTATATTCAAAACATGGAAAATATAAGGAAAGGATGTCTCAGAAAGTTTTATTTTTCAGATTTGAAATTCATATACAAAACTGGCTTTTGTAAAGTAGGATTACAGGTTATAGTTTTCAAATAATGTATGAAATAAGTGTCTGAAAAAAGTTTGACAGGAAAGGGACACCAGGGCATTGTTGAGAATAGCTGGAATAAATAAAACTTCCCCTTTTGGAAGACGTTTATGTCTAATATAAGACTAATGACGAGAGGCACTGATCATCACGATATTGACATTATTTTAGAGAAACTTGAACTCTCATGTAGAAGCCTGTTTAATCACTTTGACCAAGCATTGATGTTGTGGAATGAGTAAATGCACTGTCTTTGGCATTTCCTGGTGACTCAGATGGTAAAGAAGCTGCCTTTGATGTAGGAGACCCGGGTTCTATCCCTGGCTGGGGAAGATCCCCTGGAGAAGGAAATGGCAACCCATTCCAGTATTCTTGCCTAGAGAATCCCACGGACAGTAGAGCGTGGCAGGTTAGAGTCCACAGAGTTGCAAAGAGTCGGACATGTCTGAGCAACTAACATTTTCACTTAACACTGTCTTTGATAGTCATGGAAATGTAAGATACAGTAAATATCTTTCAGTATGCATCAATATACACATAAACATTACAAAATAGTTATTATCAATATTGTTATCCACTTTGTGCCCACTCAGAGAAACTCGAGGGTCTTGAAAATATTTACCCAATTGTCAAAGACAAACAGATCCTGATNTATATTAATAATATAATAGATAATATATAAAATATAATATATAATTAAGTACAATTAAATCAGTATAATTATTTGAAATTAAACTCAGTATAATTATTCTGAGATTAAGCCATTGTTCCTTTTTATGACTGAGTAGTATTCTGTGGTATATATATAGGCACCACAATTTGCTTATCCAGTCAAAATTTGTTGATGAACATTTGGTTATGTCTAGTTTGGGCTGTTACAATTGAAGTTGCTATGAATATTCACACACAAGTCTTTGCATGGACACATGCTTTTACTTCCTTTGGGTAAATGCCTAGGAGTAGAATGGCTGGGTCATATGATAGGTGTATATTTAACAGGCATGCTCTAAGTTGCTTCAGTTGTGTCCAACTCTTTGCAAACCTATGGACCGTAGCACAGTAGGCTCCTCTTGTTCTCGGGGTTTCCCTAGGCAAGAATACTGGAGTGGGTTGCCATGCCCTTCTCCAGGGGATCTTCCCAACTCAGGGACCAAATCCAGGTCTCTTATGTCTCCTGCACTGGCAGGTGGGTTCTCTACCACTAGCACCACCTGGGAAGCCCATGTTTAACTTTACTGTTCTCTTTTTTAAGATAGACTAATTTTTTTTAAGAGTAGTTTTAAGTTTAC